TGCCCAGATTTGGGCGGGCTGGGGAAAGGAATTCAGGGCAGCTCTTGTTCTTCCCTGCTTGCATGACAAGCCCCCAAACGTGGCCCAGTCTTCCCTTTACTTTTCCTGGGGGCAGGGGAGAGTTCTTTGGAAAACATCTTGCTTTGCTAGTTGGAGAAGAAATTCCTGTTTTAGACATACAGAGTGGTATCTGCCCTCCGTTAAGAACCTGGCATTTCTTTTGGCTTCTGTTGTCGCTTTGTGGCTCGTTGTGTTCATTTAGCAAATACTTTCCTTCTCTCTTGTCTGCACAAACGCACAAAAATCATAATCATCTCTTTCACTCATGTTGCTATTTCTTTTCTTATTTCATATGCCCATTTTAGCAGTACTGACATACAGGTTTCTCCTACATAGAATCACTCTTTCTATAGATTAAAGGAATGTTACAGATTATAACAGTCAACATTTATAAAGGTACTTAAGGAATAAGACCAGAGACTTGTGAATTAGCATGTCAAATGTTTAGTGCAAACCCAAAAGTAGAATAAAGAATATGCACTAGTGACACTTACATTCAAAATGGGTTTTCCTTAGGTCTTCATTATCTCTGCTTCTCTCCCACCTAACATCTATGAATATATTCATTATCAACTTGAAGCACTTAATTTTTATAAGCCAATTGAATAATTCTCCTCATAGGTATAATCTGTTCTTCAGCAATGGATAACCCATTGAAAAAGTAACTCCATACCCAATTAAAACAACAACAACAAAAAAGCTCTATTTGGCTGGGGAAGAGGTGCCAAATATGCAATTGTGTGGTAGATCCGTGTTCCAACAAAGAGTCTGAAGTGCAGGATGGCTGTAGAGGGATCTGGACCACTCAAGGAATACAGAAGGCCGTTACCAAGAAATAGGAACAATATTTTCAAGGTCATTCAGTTGGGCTCTTCGAACACGTTCCACTCTGTCCTCTGTTCGAAGATACTTCTTGGCATTTTCTCCTTTGCCAAAGCTTGCACTGTCTTCTGGCTTGGTAAAAACCTTTCTCATGATTCTATAGAATGCAGTTGCAGTGCTTGCTCATCAACCTCATTTTTTTTTTTTTTGAGAGGTTTTTGCTATAGGGCGCGTGCGCTCGCCAGACAGACAGAGAGAGACAGAGAGACAGAAAGTAGGAAATCACCCCCCAGGGGGGATGGCCACGCCGAAATCCCTTCTCCTCCATTCTCCTCTCGGGATCTTGGGCACGCACGCACACGCGCCCGGCGTGAGTTTAAGCCACCGGGTCCGGGACTCGAACCGCGGTCGACTACGTGGGAGTCCAGCGACATAGCCATTACGCTAACTGCTGGTCCCTCATCAACCTCATTTTTGAAAGAATAGTCATATATGAGGCAAAAGCCATGAATACTTCATTTTCCATTAGCTGGTTGAGGTCAACCATTGTTTCAACCGAGGTCTTGAATCTACAAGGGTACAGGAACACAATTCCCTTTTAGGAGTGATCGACTGAGACGAGTCGGAGCACCAGGAAGGGAGCTGACCCATCTGGCTGGGTCTCTGGCTCTGCAGAAATGTGCACCGCACGGGCTGACTCGTATTGCTATTTAGCTTACAAACTATGTCTTAGTTAATTTTCTTAAGACCTTGAAGACTTAATCAGTGGTGGTTACAGTGGAGACAACTGATGTATGCCCAAAGAGGTTATGCCACTTGCTACAGGCCACCCAACAAGAACATGGCAGAATCTGAGTTTATAAAATCAGTCATAGACTCTGAAACCATCCTTTTTTCTTGTCTCTGACTGCCTGTCATTTATTATAGTTCCCCCCTTCTTTTTACTCCCTCACTACCTTAAGTTTGGCAAGTGAGTTGTAGACAGAGGCTAAAAAGTAAGGTTAGGGGTGGGGACATAGTATTGATTTTTTTTTTTTTAAACAAACTGGGACAGAGGGTCAGATGACTGATTTGATTTGAAGGACCGGCTCCTTTTCTGTGAACTAACTCTTCCTGGTTTGGTTGCTCAGTTTATTTTCCTGGTAGCAGACTCCAAACTACTGAAGGGGAGGTGGCCTCAGATTTCTACCACAACTGGGATTCCAGTTTGGAGGTAGAATACTCCTTTAAAAATAGCAAGGCCTGCTGGCCCCTAACCTTGGCTGTAAAGGAGGTTGGATACCACATGACCCACCTTGCTGTTTAAACCCCCAACCTTGAAAACATGGCAAGCTGCGTATGTGTGCATGGTCAAATTCCCAAAAGGAGGGAGAAATCGAGAAGAATGGATTGCAACATGACTATCCCATGTGGAGTGCCCCTTCCCACTCTAGCCATAACACATGCACCCTATGGCAAAAAAAATTTTTTTTGAGAGATTTTTAAATACGGCATGTGTGCTTGCTAGAGAGACAAAGCAGAACGCGAGAAATCACTCTCCAGGGGAATGAATAACCACACCACAGTCCCTTCTCTATTCTCCTCTCAGGATTTTGGGCACACAAGCCATCAGGTCTGGGACTCAAACTATGGCTGGCTTTTTAAGAGTCCAGCAACATAACCACTATGCCATCTGCTGGCCCCTACCCTCTGACAAATTAAAAAAGCCAAGGCCTTGATGTGGCAAAGAGAGGGAGAGCCAGCCACGACACTAAGTAACTTATGTTAAGGGCCAAAATTGTTTACTAATTATGGGATGCTAGGCAAGTTGTTTAATCTCTCTGAGTCTCAGCTTCATCCTCAAAGTGGTAAGAAGCACAGTATCTACCCTCCCACACCCAACATGGTCTTATTTTCTCCCTCCAAGCATAGGGATGTTGGCTTTAGAAACATTTGCAAGAGTGGCCCCTGGTGGAAGAAATGAAAACCGCAGTGCAGGCTTCCTGGGTAGTTTCAGGACTTTCTGGCAGAAACCTGATACTCATGAATATGGAAGTATCTAGCCTTGTAAAAGAAGAGTAACAGCAAGAATTTTAATGAAAGAACACTTGGACCAAATAGAAATTCCACTGGAGGGAATTTGCAAGCAGGAATTAGCTCCCTGCTCCTTTGTAAATAGGCATATAGTCAGCACTCAATAAGAACTGACTGGAGCCAGATGTGGCACCGTTTTTTCGCCCATGATGTGGGGCCTGGCTGAAGCTGGTGGGGGGATTGCTGTGGCAAGACTGGAGATGCATTCTCTCTCTTACTCACATGGAAGAAAAAATACACTTTTAAAAATAAATAAATTAGACTGGTTCACGGCCTAATGGTTAAGGTAGTTGGATCTCACCTGGCTAACTCTATAGTTTGAGTCCTAGACCTGGAGGCTTGAGAAACACACTAGGTGCATGTGCGTGTGTGTGGCCCAGATCCCAACTGGATAGAGAAATGGAGGAATAAGTATTGCGTGTAACCAGGAGGTAACCGTTCCCCATGGCAGGTGATTTTTCCTGCTCCCCTTCTCTCTTTCTCTCCCTGGAGAGCACACAGCCCTCTGACAAAATTTAAAACAAATAAAGAAGTAAACATCAGATATTATTGTTTTTTTGTGGAATACTTACGGGACCTGAAACAATCAACCAAAGCTATATATATTTTTAAGGATTTATTTATTCAATTTTATTTATTCATTCATTTATTTTAATTTGACGAGAGAGAGAGAGAGAAAGTGAGAAAGTGAGAAAGGAAGACACCAGGTCTGGGACTCGAAGTATGGTCGGCCATGTGGGAGTGTCTAGCACCTTAGTCACCACACCAACCACTGGTCCCACCAAAGCTATATTTAAAAAAAAAAAAAAAGTTTTTAACAACCTTTAATATAGTGTAGTATTTATTGTGTTCCAGGTGCCATTGTGCATACATTAAATTGGTCCTAGCAGATAGTTATTATTTTAGTTTATTTTCTACGCATTTTATGTGAGTGGACTGAGGCACAGAGAGATGAAATAATTTGCCCAGAGTCACAGAGCTAGTACGTGGCAGAACTGGGACTCGAACCCTGGCATTGTGGTCTAGAGTCTATTCTTAACCTTTATGCCATTCTGGCTCTTTCTTACTATTTGCCACTGTTTATTGAAATGTGTACTGTTTAGGCCAGCTGGTGGTACGGTGGTTAAAGTGACTGGTCCTCACATGGTCTGCTTCACGGTTCGAGGATTGAACCCATCAGCTTGAAAAACTTCCCGAATGCATATTCTTGTATACTCAAAATCCCAAGAGGAGAATGGAGGAGGGATTGCAATGTGGCCATCTCCCTGGCCGGCGGGGTGGGGGGTGCTTTCTCACTGTGCCACACAGCCCTCCCCTCACCTCTCTGATGAGCACACACACTGTATAGCAAATTTTAAAAAATTGTGTACTGTTTAAAGGTAGACTATCCAAAGCCGCTCATTGAACCTTGGCCTCTAACTTTTAGGTTTCCTGTTTCAGTTTTTATTTATTTGTTTATTTTTCAAGGCTTTTGCCATAGGGCACAGGTGCTCACTGGAGAGAGAAAGTGAGAAATCAGGGAGGAAGACCACACCGTAATCCCTTCTCCTCCATTCTCCTCTTGGGATTTCAGGCACACATGCACATGAGTCTGGCGTGATTTTCTTTCTACCGGGTGCCAGACTCCAACTGTGGTTGGCCATGCAGAAATCCAGCATGCCTTAACCACTACACCACCTGCTGACCCCTCCATTTCAGTTTTTCAGTGGTCTCTTTTCATACTGACAGGAGCTCTTTTTTATGTTATTGAAAAACAGAAGTTATTGTCTAGAGGAGATACTATGTTCACTTGACAGATAGGTGAGAAAGTAATCAGCCCACAATGAGCATTCACCCTATGACTGTGAAGAATGTGTGGTGATATCCAGTCCTTTGATGGCTTTGATATTCTGTCACCTGACTGTGGTTTGTTTGCGTGTGCTTATTTTATGTGTCAGGCTTTTGGTGAGTGAATCAAATTCACTCTTTGGAGAAAGAATACTCTCATTTTTAATCTGACCAATGTCCTAATTGTCATCTCCCTAACTGTTACTTCTGCCCCACAGTGAGTTTTGAAGGATGCACCGGTCGACCGAGAACAGTCTATTTTTCTGACGACTCCCATTTCAAAGTGAGCACAGATGGTGTGGTTACCGTCAAACGGCCTGTACAACTTCATAATTCAGAGACCAGTTTTACTATCCACGCCTGGGATGCTACCCACCGAAAACTTTCCACCAAAATTACGCTGAAGGTAGCAGAGCACCTCCGCCACCACAACCACCACCACCACCACCGCCACCGCCACCATCACGTATGTTGAAGTGTTTCTGGGAAGTTCGCTATCGCTTTAGCTCACCAGTGCTGTCCAATCCTTGTTTTTCTCAACCTGGTCACCGTCGACATTTTGGGCTGGATAATTTTCTATTGTGGGGTTGTCCTGCACAATATAGGATGTTTAGCAGCCTCTTTGGCTTTAAGTCACTAGATACCAGTAGCACTTCTGCAGTTGTGACAGCCAAAACTATCTCCAGACCCTGCCAATATCTCAAATCATCTTCAATTGAGAACTGTTGATTTCACTAATTTTTAAAAAAATTGACACATAATAATTGTGTTTGTAGGTCACAGTGCGATTATTTTTCCTCCAGTACAAAAACAACAGTGTATCATCTGGGTAACTGTCTACCCATCACTCAAACATTTGTCCTGACTTTGTGTTGGGAGCATTTAAAATCTCTCTTTTAGGCTTTCTAAAATAGATGAACAGCCCTGCTGGATATTGTGGGTTGTTGGGTGGTAGGGACCTGCTAGTGTAGAAGGGTGGGTAAAAGCATGGCCACTGTCTGGGATTGCATCCCAGCCCTGGCTCTACAACCTGAGGAGTTCGCTAACCTGTTTGCACATGAATTTCTGTATCTGCAAGATGGAGGTAATGGTCAAGACTGAATGAAGTAATGCACGTGAAATGTTAGAAATATGCTAGGCACATAATAAGTGAGTACTCAGTAATTGTTAGCTGCGCTTATAACTCCCCTCCTGGAAGAAGAACCAAGAGGCAGATTCTCTATTTTGTTCTTTGTGTTTCCTGTGCGGAGGGTCTTGATAAACAAGTGGAAGAACCAGCGGGAAGCTTCTGCTCCTTTGGATGGTAACCTCCATGAGATCCTTCTCCCATTGTATTTGCAATCTCTGGCACATACCAGGAGCCTAGGAGTGGAAGGGTGTATGTCCAAGGTTCTTGGCATCATCTTTCTGTGGGTTGTTACCAAAAGCCAAAATATGCCTTTGCCAGTTTCTAAACTGCTCCCATGGTGCTTCCTACCAAAACGTCTCTCTGGGGGAATATTCTGCTTGTATGCTCTTATTGACTTGGAAGTACAGAAGGTATTGTAAGCGCCAAGGCCTTTAAAATTGGCTCCTGTTTTTCTCCCTGCAGACTCTTGATATTCTTGGAAACTAAAAGTCCTCCTGATAGATGTAAATTTTCTCCCTGACGTGATTAGAACTGGAAAATGAGGAGCTTAGAACGCTATTAGCATAGCTCCCTGACAGGTCTCCAGTTGGCCCAGTCATTCATGTGAGTAAGGTCAGAACAGTGAGTCCGTGCAGGGCAGCTGTGCATGGAAGACTCCTGTGAGTAAGAACTTGGTTCTTCACCTTTTCCTCCCCACGTCTGGCAACTTCGCTTCTGCTTCCACGTCTGCTCTATCAGGATTAGATTCAGAGTAAATATTATATAAAACTCCAAATGGCAGTGGCTTATGCAAAATACTGTCTTGGAAGTTAAGGAAGTAAGAGTCAAGTTGTACCTAGAATGGAGACTCCAAAGTCATCAAGTTGCTGGTTTCTGTTCTTGCACTGCCACCCTTAATGCATGGTTTTCATCCTGAAGGGTACCTCACGATCTAAGGTGACTGCTGGAGCTACAGTCATTGTATCTTTATTCTAGGTGATAGGAAGAAAGAGAAAAAAAAAACACAAAAATGTATAGTTTAATTTTCTTTTTTTTAAAAAATGTATATATATGTGTGTATGTGTATATATATATATATTACTTTAAAATTTTACTTACAATTTTAAATTTTTGCTATAGGGTATGTGCACTCACCAGAGAGAGACAGACAGAGATAGAGAACAAAAGGAAGAAAGCAAGTCACCAGATCCAAGACTCAACCTACCCATGATTGTCCACTTGGGTCCAGTGCCTTAACCACCATACAACCCACTGGCCCCGATTTTCTGCTTCCTTTTTTTTTCTCCCCCACTTCAAGAACTTTTAAACTGTGGGGTTTCTCTACCGGATCCTCCCCTCTGCTTTCTTTTTAAGAGACCTTTGTGAAATCCTCAAGCAACACTTCTGCTTATATCTGATGTTGGCCGGAACTTAGTCTCACAGCCACACCTAGTTATATATGTAGTATAGGAAAATGTAGTCTCTCACTTGGGTACATTGCTGGGTACAGATCTGAGATGAGAGAGGTATTTTTACTTGTTTTTAATAAGAACGGAAGAATAGATATACTGGGGAGATGGCAGACCCTACAATAACTGGTTTAAAGTTCATCCATTTTTTATCTCTAGTTTAAGCAAGCCTTATGACGTCGGGGATATTAAGAGAAGGGGTGACTGTTCTCCCCGTTAAATTTGTATAAGGCTAAGTCTACCTTTTTTACTTCTTTCCTTCTGTCTAGGTGAGTTTTTCCTGTCTGTTCTCTTATTTTTCTGAGGGATGAATTCCATGCTCCATATGCTTAGGCATACTTCCTTTAATCTCACATATGAAGATGTTAATGTTGGACCAGCAGGTAGTGTGGTAGTTAAGGCACTGGACTCCCATATGGCCAGTCATGGTTCAAGTCCTGGACCTGATGGCTTGAGAATCACACTGGGCGTATGTGCATGTGTGCATGCCCAAAATCCCAGGAGGAGAGTGGAGGAGAAGGGATTGCAGCATGGTCCTCTCACTTTCCCTCTCACTGTCTCTTTCTGTCTTTCTGGTGAGCGCATGTGTTCTATGGGGGAAAAAAATAGTTAATGCAGGGCCAGCAAGTGGCGTGTGGTTAAAGGTACTGTACTCCCACATAGGCAACTGCTGTTCAAGTCCTGGACCTGGTGCCTCGCTTTTTCATTTTCCCTCTCTCTCTCTGTCTCTCTCTGATCAAACTGGAAAATAATAATATGATAAATAAAGTTAAATAAAATAATTCTTTAAAAAAATTTAAGGCTATATTTTGCCAGCTTAATGTTCAGCATTATTTTTTAAAGAATTATTTTATTTTACTTTATTCATTATTATTATCATTATTATTTTCCAGTTTGATCAGAGCAGTCCCATAGGACTGCTCCCCACTTCCAGGATAGCGAAAATCTAGGTCTTCAGAACACCCAGCTGACTGACTGCAAGTTGGGGCTCACAACTCTTTCTTTAGGCTTAATTAATTTGCTAGAGCAGCTCATAAAACTCAGGGAACTCTACTTATGATTGCCAGTTTATTTTAAAGGACATCAGTAAACAGTCAGATGAAGAAATACTGAAGTCTAGAAGGGTCCTGAGTGCAAGAGCTTTTGTTGAGGTGTGCCACCCTCCTAAAATGTGAATGAATTCTTGTTTACCTCCATGTGTTTAATGCTTCAGAAACTCCTCAAACCTTGTGCTTTTAGGGTTCTTATGCTGACTTCATTGCATAGGCATGGTCAGCAACCTTATAGAGATGTGATCAGACAAAAACATATATGAGCTCATGCTAATAGACAGAGCAAGAGAACTCCCAGCAAGGTCTGTCTGTTCAGATGCTTTGACCCCTATGTACAGCGTTTCCTCCTCCCAGGTATGGGGCAGGACCCCTCTGGAATGAGGGTCTTAATTTCTTTATGATCAGTTATCTGTCCTGCTTTGGAGCTTCATGAACCAAGGACAAAAAGCTAAATAATTATGAATTAGAAACCATGAATGAAAACCAAATATTGTGTCATCAGAAAAGTCATGGCATATTTTTGTCTATGTTTTTCCATGAAAAAATATATTATGACTTTGCAGAAACCCAATACATAAACAAGTGTGTGTGTATGAGTGTAAAAAATAGTATCATAGATATATCTATATACCTATATCTATATATAGATAGATATTATATAATATCAATACTAATATTGTCTGCATTTTAGATATTAGCAAACTCTGGTACAGAGAACTAAAGTAATCTGCCCAGGAAAAGGATGTGTCACAGTGATGACTCAAAGCCAGGTGGCCTGACCCCAAGGCCTATGCTTAGTCCAGGCTAGGCTGCCTCTCTAGAAGACCCCCGCAAGGATGGGAAGGGCAGACATGTGCGTGTATGTTGTGCATGCACAGGTATGCCAGTATGCAGGTTGGGGAAAGGTTTTGTGACTGTACCTACTCACATATACTTATCTTGTGTCTTTAAAAAGCCAGAAAATATGACTTAGATCAAACTTGCTGAATGGTAATAAGTGACTATGAGGGCATATTTGTTTTTAAAGGTTTTTGCCACTGGGCACATGCCTTTACTCACCTGAGAGATAAGGTGGGTGGGGGAGCAGTATAAAATCATCCACCAGGGAGGTATGGCTACAGTCCCTTTTTCTCTACTCTGCCCTTGGGATTTTGGGCACACACACACACAAGTGTGACTTTCAAGCTACAGCGTCCAGGACTCGATCCACACAATCGGCCACATGGGATCCATCCAGCACCTTAACCACCATGCTGCCTGATGGGGAAAGAACATAGTCTTACAAGGAGTATGGGCGATGGAATTTTCCTCTGAAAACTTTACTGTGTTACTTTTAATCATTTTAAAACACTTAAACAATTTGAAAGGCATTTTCTCTGTCTTCAACTATCTTATTTCCCTGCGTGTGCACAAAAGTATCTTTATTACAATTAAAAACTGTTCAATACAAGTCTCAAAGGGTATTTTTGGTTCCCATCCCAAACCATTTTTGCTTGAACAAATGGATACTATATAGATATAATGATACAATGAGATAAAGATATTTTTATTGATTACAGAGAAGTTCTTAGTACCAATTTCCAAAATTTACTCACTTTGATTGAAAACTCACTTCACTTTGGGTCTTACATCTCTAAGAAAAACATCAAAGAAAAAAATGGAAAATACCTGAATACCGAGTTATTGAATGTGTTCTAATATTAATTCATTCAAATACAACGTTGGCATTAAAAATGACAAGGATCTGCATGGTGGCACAGTAGTCAGACACAGTGCTTTGTGAGCCTGATCCACGTGAGAGGGTTCTGGGTTTATGTCTGGAGAGCTCTCTGAGTATAGTGGGCGTTTGTATGTCCATGACCTGGGGCTGGCTGAGGCTGAGTGTAGATTATGGTGTCAGGACTCTCTTGGGGTGCTATCTGCCTCTCACACTCACAGAAGAAATAGATAAACTTAAGGGAAAAAAAAGACATATTGGCTTGAAAAAACTTATAAATTACAGTATCAAATCCTTAAACCTGTAATTGTTCAGCCAAACACATAGTCTTTATTATATGGCAAAAAGAGTGATTAGTTTTTGTATGGTTATTCATTTTGGAGGGTATATATAATTTGTCACTGTTAAGAGAAAGTGTTGCTAAGTTAAAACCATACATTACCTTTGAGGCCTAGAGATACTGCCTAGACAGACTGGGCTCTTTGACCTATATTATTTCTCTTGATTTATGTTGTTTTTCATCTCCTTTCCTCTTAGGACTCTTCTGGAACCCAGACAGATGTGATCACATTTCCTAATTCCCACCATGGTCTCAGAAGACAGAAGAGAGACTGGGTTATCCCTCCCATCAGCTGCCCAGAAAATGAAAAAGGCCCATTTCCTAAGAATCTGGTTCAGGTAGGGAAGGGATTTCTTTACTTCTCTGAGAGGAATTTTGTACAAAAGAACCAAGAAGTAAAAGGGGAAAGACCCAATGTCAAGATATTTCCTTGCTGGGGGCCAGCAGGTGACATGGTGGTTAAGATGCTGGACACTCCCATATGGCCAACCATAGTTTGAGTCCTGGACCTGGTGGCTTGCTTTCTCACTTTCCCTCTCCCTATGTCTTTCTCTGGTCAAATTAAAATAAATGAATGAATAAATAAATAAATAATTCTAAAAAAAATAAAAAAAGGATATTTCCTTGCCAATGCTGTTTTTTACCCCTTCTGTTTTGTCTTTAGATCAAATCCAACAGGGACAAAGAAATCAAGGTTTTCTACAGCATCACTGGCCAAGGAGCTGATACTCCTCCTGTTGGCGTATTTATTATTGAAAAAGAAACAGGACAGCTGATGGTGACACAGCCTTTGGATAGAGAAAATATTCCCAAGTACACTGTGAGTATCTAGGCTTGTTAATGATGGGAGACCCAGTGTTCAAACATTTTTGGTCAACCCATGTTGGAGCCTCAGATCAGATGCTCTGGACATGTGAGGGGCCTCACTTGACCTATCGGTATGTTGACAAGGAAAATTGACGGGATAACCTAGGACAGTTTGGGGTTGTTCATTTTTTTCCTTGTTACGAAGGAGATCTGACTTGGTTGAGTATTCTCCAGCCCATGGGTCTTAACCTGTCATGATCTTATTGATTCAATAGCACAAGTGTAGAAAAGTTCTCTGCTGTAGTCTCAAAGAGCGGGAAGGAGTAGTTGACCCACCGTGTCCTTCCTCCTGTTCCTCATCATGGCCCACGTAACCCTCACTTGGTTCTTACAGCTCTTTTCTCATGCTGTGTCATCAAATGGAAATGCAGTTGAGGAACCGATGGAGATCGTGATCACAGTGACTGATCAGAATGACAATAAGCCTGAGTTTACCAAGATGGTTTTTGAAGGGTCCGTTGCGGAAGGTGCTCTTCCAGGTACTATATACATAGTAACAAGGGGCTGAATACCCAGAAAGATGCTTAGATTCTTTGGATTCCGAAGTATTGGGGCTAGAGCATGGGGACAGATCATTGAAGCTGACCTTTCATATGGATAGAATTTTGGGAAGCCAAAATATGTATATGTGTGTATAGGCATGTGTGTAATATCCTCCATTCAGAAACGGATAAAATAGGAACAGTCTAATAATAGACTAGAAGTGGATTCTTGCCCATATCTTTACCATTATACAACCTTTTTCTTTTTTTTTGGAGAGGTTTTTTTGCTGTAGGGTACATGCGCTTGCCAGAAAGACAGAGAGAGAGAGATAGAAAGCGAGAAATCACTTCCCACGGGGGATGGCCACGTTGCAATCCCTTCTCCCCCATTCTCCTCTTGGGATCTTGGACACGTACCCACACGCACCTGGCATGAATTTAAGCCACCAGGTCCAGTACTCAAACCATGGTCAGCTACATGGGAGTCCAGCAATATAGCCATTATGCTATCTGCTGGTCCCTATATAAGCTTCTTTTTTTTTGGGAGAGGTTTTTGCTGTAGGGTGTGTGCACTTACTAGAAAGACAGAGAGAGACAGAGAGACAGAAAGCAAGAAATCACCCCCCGGGGGGATGACCACACCACAATCCCTTCTCCTCTATTCTCCTCTCAGGATCTTGGGCACGCATGCACACACACCCAGCATGAGTGTAAGCTACCAGGTATGGGACTCGAACCGTGGTCGACTACATGGGAGTCCAGCGACATAGCCATTATGCTAACTGCTGGTCCCCCTATATAAGCTTCTTGATCTCATTCTTTTCTCTCGTCCACGAAGGTAGCCATTGCCCTGGATTTGGTGGTAATTGTTCCCCTGCTTTGCTTTATCTTTTACTATGTGTATTTATCTCCAGATAATAACTTGTTGGGTTTATCCGTTTTCAAACCATGTATACACTGAATCACACTATCTATATATCTATCTAAATTTACTTTTATTCAACTTGATATACATATGATCCTTCTATGGTAAAAAAATAAATAAATAAAAGTAAATTTGCTAGAGGGCATGTTTGCTCATTATAGAGAGGCAGAGAGGGAGAGAAGACAAGTGAGAAAGCATCCCTGTGGGGGATGATCACACCACAGTCCCTTCTCCTACATTTCTCCTTTGATGATTTTGGGCTTACTTGCATATGTGCCAACATGTTTTTGAAGACTTTGGGTCCAGGACTCAAACTGTGCAGTTGACTTTGTGGGATCCAACCACCTTAAACAGCACACCACCAACTGGCCCTAAAAAATTTTTTTCTTCAGCGCCAGCAGGTGGTATAGCGTTAAAATACTGGACTCCCACTTGGCCGACCACTATTTGAATCCCAGAGCTGGTGCTTGAAAATGATGCTGCATGTGTGTGCATGTGTGGCCAAAATCCCAAGAGGAGAATGGAGGTGAAGAGATTGCCCAGTGACCATCCCCCTTGGGAGGCGGTGGTTTCTCACCTTCCCTTTTGCTGTCTCTCCAACAAGTGCACATGCCCCATGACAAAAACCTTAAGAAAATGTTTTTGTGTGTCTGTTCTTTATTCATGATACAGTGTGTGTGTGTGTGTGTGTGTGTGTATGTATACACCTGTGGGAGAGGAAGGGAGAGAGAAAGAGGAGAGAAACACCTTCAACAGCATCTGGTCACGTTGTGATCCCCTTCCTTCCGGCCTCTATTCCGTTGGATATTGAGCACTCATGCAGGTGCTTATGGTTCAGGCCATGTAGGATCTGTCTTCTCTCTTGCTCTCTCTTTTTTAGAAAAAATAGTTTTGCCATAGGGCATATGCTCTTGACAGAGAGAGGAGGTGTGGGGGATGAGAAATCACTCCCTTCCAGGGGTGTGGCCCACTGGAATATCTTCTCCATTTCTTCTCAGGATGTTTGGGCATGGATCCACACGTGCCTGGCATGTTTTTCAAGCTGCTAGTTCCAGAACTGGAACTGCAAAGTCAGTCATGTGGGATCCAGATGTTTTAACCAGCGTGCCACCTGGCCTGTCCAAGATCCACTTTCTCTTGAGCAGGGCATTACCACTGCACCATAGGACTGACCTGGATTCTTCCATATTACCAATAGCAATAGGTCATTTATTTTTATTATTGCATAGTATTCCCTGACTTTTATATTTAGGTATAACTTTATCTATTCCACTGCTGACGGAAGGAGAGTGGTTTCTGTTTCTTGCTATCATAAATAGGACTGTCAGAACATTCTTTTTTTTTTTTTTTTAAGAAATTTTTTGCAGGGTTTGCAGGTGGCATGGTGGTTAAGGGTGCTGGACTCTCAAATGGTTGACCTCAGTTCGAGTCCCAGAACTGGCAGCTTGCTTTCTCACTTTCCATCTCTCTCTCTCACTCTGTCCCTCTGGGCAAATTTAAATAAACAGACAAACAAAGTCAACTAAAATAATTCTTTAGAAAAAAAGAGAGAGATTTTTTGCTATAGAACACATGCACTCACTGAAGAGACAGAAAAAGACAGATAGAAAGTGAGAAATCAACCCGCAATCCCTTCTCCTCTATTCTCCTCTCGGGATTTTGTACATGCATACACAACAAAAGGAAAAGAGGAACTTATCACATGGTACCATTTCCAGGGTCACCCCTTTATCACTTAGGACAGCATTGGGCAGAGTGGATTAACCAGATCCCATAATGCAGCTTGTCTAAATTACCTTCTTGATGCTTCCAGGAACCTCCGTGATGCAGGTCACAGCCACAGATGCAGACGATGATGTGAACACCTATAATGCTGCCATTGCTTATACCATCGTCAGCCAAGATCCTAAGCTGCCTGAAGACAATATGTTTACCATCAACCGGGACAGTGGAGTCATCAGTGTGCTCACCACCGGGCTGGACCGAGAGGTCAGGGGTTGGGGGCATGCAGAGGGTGTTGAAGGCCAATGGATGTTTGCTGAATCCCACTGGCAGCACAAATCTCTCCTGAGGCCAGCTGTCCGTTAGTGAGCTGATGGTCTGAACTTTGCATTGACACACTTCTGAGCAGTTTCTGTACTGAGGCAGTTAGGCTGACACTGAAGCAAATAATAAAATATTCTGATTTTTTTTTTTTTTTTTTTTGATAATGGTCTGGATGGCGCCTAAGGTGGCTATTGATCTGAGTCCTGACTTGCATCATTTGACTTTCTGCAGAGTTTTCCCACGTATACGCTGGTGGTTCAAGCTGCTGACCTTCAAGGTGAAGGCTTAAGCACAACAGCAACAGCCATAATCACAGTCACTGACACCAACGATAATCCTCCCATCTTCAACCCCACCACGGTAATTTTGCAGCTTCTCAAATAGTTTTTAGAGAAAGATCTTTTGTTGTTCATAAATGAAATTTCATGGCTGCTCATGAGTAAATGCTTCAAAAACTCTCCCCAGACTAGGGAATGTTAACTCTGGAGTAAGGAGCAAGTTGGGGAGCAGTTGTCTTTGACCGTCTTTGTTCTATCCTTGGCCTGGGACTAATTGACAAAAGATTATGAAGTTCTGAAAAGCACGTATTAAATCCATATTCTCTGTGGTGCATCTTTGTAGCAAATCTTACTGGGTTTTACTTACTCATTAAACAAATAAATTTTCTAAGTTTTTACTAGGTGCTCTGTTAGACACTGGAGATACATCATAAACAAAGCAGACAAAGATTCTATGCTTGTGGAGTTGATAGTCTTGTTAGGGAGACATTGGGCAACTCATAGGAATTATTGAATGCCAGATATGTTAACTGCATTCATAAAGAAGGTACCGAGAGCCGATCTTACGGTATGAGTTAGATATCAATTTAATTGTTACTAAAAGAGACTAGCCTTTTGTGGTTTAATCAAATAGTGTTAACTTTATTTTTTAAAAGATTATTTTATTGGGACCAGCAGTTGGCATAATGGCTGGGTCACTGGACTCCCACATAGTTGACTGCAGTTCGAGATCCGGACCCAGTGGCTTAAACTCAAACCGGGCATGTGTGCATGCGTGCCCAAGATCCTAAGAGGAGAATGGAGGAGAAGGGATTGTGGTGTGGCCATCCCCCCGGGGGTTGATTTCTCACTTTCTATCTGTCTATCTCTCTCTGTCTTTCTGGCAAGTGCACGCGCCCTATAGCAAAAACCTCTCCCCCCAAAAAAGAATTATTTTATTTAACTTTATTTATTCATTTATTTTAATTTGACCAGAGAGGGACAAAGTGAGAGAGAGAAAGAGAAGGGAAGGGGAGAAGTGAGAAAGGAAGCCACCAGGTCTGGGACTCGAACGGTCGGCCATGTGGTAGTCCAGTACCCTTAACCACACCACCTGCTAGACCCAAATAGTGTTAACTTTAAAAAATTTTTCTCTTATGCAATTAAAAACCCTAGAAATAGATATTCTGCTTCATCAGTAAAGACCAAGCTGCTCTTGCCTTGCTATTCCATCATCCTTAGTGAAAGGCTTCAATCCTCAATGTCACTTTGGGGCCCTAAATGGCTTCTAGAGCTGTAGTGATTCATGACTGGGCCCCATACAGGAAAGAAGCAAGGACAAGAGCCACTAAAGGCATTGTTATTGAGTCTGGTCCTCTTAGTAAAGACTTTCTGTGATGAAAGTAGTATTTCATCACTTTCTGTGATGAAAGTAGTAAATGTAGTATTTACTGGGGCACATTGCTGCTGTCAATAATGTAGTTAGTGGAGATGGGGAGGTGGATATTGAGTAGGCAATTGACAATGTCTGCCATTTTGGCCTAGTACCTATGAGTACAAGGGACTTCACAAAGACAGTACATTTATAGTAAAATTTGAAAGAAGGTCAGGGAAAGGTGGAACAGGGGAATGAAGAAAAGCGTTCTAGACAGAAGTGTCAGCATATTGAAAAGTGCTCTGAACCAGGAGGAAGCTTGATATGCACAGGAAAAACAGCAAGGGTGACTTAAGGCTAGTGAGCCAGAGAAAGCAAGTCCTACAGGGCCTTGTAGGCTAAGGAAAGAATTTTAGAATTTATTCTGAGTACAAGGGGATATCATCAGAGTTTTGAGCAGATTATATTGACTAGACTTTCATTAGTACTTCCAGTGCCCAGGGAGGAGGATATTCCCAAGTACTAGCTGCTCCACTAACAGGAAATAAGGGCTTGCACATAGATGTGGGCACATAGGGGGGCAGCAGGTGGAATGGTGGTAAGGATGCTGGACTCCCACATGGCCAACCACGGTTTGAGTCCTAGACCTGGCGGCTTGCTTTCTTACTTTCTCTCTCTCTCACTCACTCTGTTCCTTTCTAGCCATTTTTAAATAAATAAATAAATAAATAAATAAATAAATAAATAAATAATAAATAAATAAGAAATGAAGAAAGAATTTAAAAAAAAAAAAAGAAGAAGAAGCAGGCACATAAAGCCAGCAGTGGCATGGTTAAGGCTGCTGAATCCCGCATGACTGACAGTAAGCTTTTGAGTCTTGGACTTGGCAGCTCGAGAAAGGTGCTGGGCATGTGTGATATGTGCCCAGAATCTCAAGGAAGGAGAAACGGAGGAGAAAGCATTGTGGTGTGACCATTCCTGGGGTGGGTCGGGGGTGTGCTTTCTCACTCCTCCCCCTGCTCCCACCCCTCTCCTCTCTCCTAGGCCCTCTGGCAAATTGGGAGGGTGAGTGCACTTCCTCTGCGACTTGTGCTTATTGCCTGACTTCTTTCTGTCCTGTTTTTCGCAACACTTGAGCTCAGAAAAGATTCCTTCGGCCCCCTACGATTGGGCCTCGCTGTGACCTCAGCATCCTGAGTGACCCTCTCTTCCTTTGCTCTGCAGTACCAAGGTGAGGTGCCTGAGAACCTGGTTGATGCTGTGATCACCACACTCAAAGTGACCGACGCCGATGCCCCCAACACCCCAGCTTGGCAGGCTGTGTACACCATATTAAATGACAAGGAGGGGCAGTTCGTCGTTGTCACAGATCCAACAAACAACAATGGCTTGCTGAAAACAGCTAAGGTTTGTATGAAGCCCAGCATGATATAGAAACCAAGACCCGCGTAGCTGTCCTCTCCCTCATCCCCTGGAGTTTTTCAGGAGTAGGTTAGTTAGCGTTGGCAGCTGGAGGTGGAAAGGGGCGGTGCTTCCCCCCTCTGTCTCTTCCTGGGAATAATGCCCTATGGCAATTCTAAACAAATAAAAGGACCGTGTTGCTTGTTAGAGTTCAGGATCCCCGAAGTAACCCCAGAGCTGTGAAGTCTACTTTGACATCTACCCCAGAACAAGTGAGCCTCCAAGTTTGAGAACCACTGGCATATTACCAACCAAAAGCAATAGTTAAGGATTTCAAATTAATACACTAATTTACAATGTTTTGACTATATATTTTTTTTAACCTCATTTCTTCTGCGCTCTAGGGCTTGGATTATGAGGCCAAACAGCAGTACATTCTACACGTGGCAGTGGAAAATGTGGCCCCCTTTATGGTCTCTCTCTCCACTTCCACGGCCACTGTCACCGTGAATGTGCTGGATGTGAACGAGGCCCCCATATTTGTGCCCCTTGAGAAGATAGTGAAAGTGTCTGAAGACTTTGCTGTGGGCCAGGAGATCACGTCCTACACGGCCCGGGAGCCAGACACGTTCATGGAGCAGAAGATAACGTAAGTGTGAGGATCTTGCGACCGACTGGCAGCAAGTATGTATGTGCAGATGGGCCTTGACTTTAGATGGTTTCACTTCAGACTTTTCCAATTTATAATGGAGTGAAAGCAATATGCACTTTGTAGAAACCAGGCATCAAGTATTCCTACAACCATTCTGGTTTTGTTTTCCTTTTTTAAAAAAATTATTTTTTATTTAACTTTATTTGTTTATTTATTTATTTTAGTTTGACCAGAGAGGGACAAAAAGAGAAAGAGAGAAAGAGAGAGAGAGAGAGAGAATTCAAGCCACCAGGTCTGGGACTCAAAACCGTGATCAGCCATGTGGGAACCCAGTGACCTTAAACACCGTACCACCTGCCGGCTCCTCTTTTCCTTTTTTTTTTTCAAAGAGATTTTTGCCTTAGAGATTGTGCACTCACTGGAGAAAGAGAGAGACATACAGGCAGACAGACAGTGAAAAATCACTCCCCGGGGGATGGCCACACCACAGTCTCTTCTCATCCATTCTCCTCACGGCATTTTGGACCCTCAACACACACGCCTGGAATGATTTTCAAGCTTCCAGGTCTGGAGCCTGAAATGTGGTTGGCCATGTGGGAATCCAGCAATGCAATCACTCTGCCATCTGCTGGCCCCACCGTTCTGTTTTTTTTTACTTTCAGTACACTATTTAATAAATTACATGAGTCACTTTATTATAAAATAGTCTTTGTGTTAGATGAATTTGCCCAGCTGTAGGCTGATGTAAGTGTTCTGAGCGCTCTTGAGGTTTGCTAGGCTAAGCTATGATGTATGGTAGGTTACTTACATCAGATGCACTTTCGACTTAATATATTTTCTTTCTTTCTTTCTTTCTTTTTTTAAGAATTGTTATTATTGTATTTGTTATTATTATCATTATTTTTTAATTTGACCAGAGAGAGAGAAAGGGAAAGTGAGAAAACAAGCCACCAGGTCTGGGACACCAACCACGGTTGGCCACGTGAAGTCCAGCACCCTAACCACCGCACCACCTGTTGGCGCGCACTTTACAGTGGGTTTAGGGATTTAACCCTATACGTTACGGAGCATCCATATATAAATATAAATAACATTTAGTTCATGGAATTTTGTCATCATTGGTTTGTGCAAGACCCTTCTCTCCTTTCATTTATTTCTTCTCGCTCTGCCTTCTTTCACACACCACCCCAACAAAGTCCTGACACAGTGATTCATGCCCAGCCTTCAGCTAGCACCACATGCGTGTGTGCAGCATACTTGGGAAGTCTCCACGTGTGAACTGGCAACCATCCCATGTGGCATGGCCACTACGTCCCCCCCATTTGTTTATTTTACTCCCTTTATTCCTGTTCCCCATACCTATTCCCTTCCCTCCATAGGCTTAATGTGTTCCTCTCTTCCAGTTGTTATAGGGTAATAGGAATGTGATTTTAATGTGCACACATTGTACTGTGTTAGGAGTAGCTTACTGTGTCTTCTGTTCGTAAATTCGAAGGCAGCTCTGTAATGTAAATCATAGCCGCAGATGCTGTAAACGTCTGTGCAAACCGACCAACTGCAACATGTGCTGTAAAATACATGTAGTTAGTGTGCTGCTCCAATTCAGGTACAATGCCTGTGTGGTCCAAATAGTCAGACCTTGTCAAGTATGTTTTTAATTGAACTTTAAGAGAACAGTGAGGGGTTAGCAGGAGGTGTGGTGATTAGAGTGCTGGACTCCCACATGGCCAACTGCAGTTCAAGTCTCAGACCTGGTGGCTTGCTTTCTCACTTTCCTTTTGTCTCTCTCTCTGGTCAAATTTAAAATTAAATAAATAAAAAAGTTATTCTATTTAAAAAAAAAAGAAAAAAAACAAAGAACAGTGAAAAGACCATACTGTAGGGTTTTATTCAGCAATAAAGCCTTGGAGTGATGGTTTCCAGACTGGGTTGACAACATCTTAACTTGTAGTAGTGAAACAGATGGTTCAGAGCAGCTCTTTGGGCACATTTGAGATACCAGGTCATACTAATTTTAGAGAGGACTTCACCCCTGGAACAAAAACCAGTTAGTATAATTCACTACTTTGTATTTCTAGGGGAGCCAAAGTAAGTCCACAGATTTCCAGAGCTCTTGCCTTCTTCAGTTTCTGTCTTTTCTGAGCCTTTCCATGACCCCGTAGATAACTGAGCAGTGTATCCTTGTTTTATGCACATGTATTTCCTCTGATTAACTGGTTCTGGTACTCCTAATAGGTGTTGCTTAACAGGATTTTCTTGACATTTTGAATAAAACCTTTTTTGCTGTGTAAGTCCCAAAGGCACTTCTAGCCTCCCTGGCATCTACCATTAAATGTCAGTGGTGAGGTTGGTCCTGTAGTGCAGTGGCTAAGTATTACACAGAGGAAACCAGATCCTACCTGGCCAACTAGGGTTTGAGTCCCAGCCTTGGTGTCTTGGAAAACAACATGCCAATAGTGGAACCCATCCCCAAGTCACTGTGTTTACCTAAATTTCCAAGCAATTGTGGCAGGAGAGTGAGTGGTGGCATATTGCCCCCATTTGAGAACTGCTGTACTTTTCAGGGAGCTGATCCAGAAGAATCTGCTTTTAAAAATAAACAAAGATCATGATAATTATTGCTTCAGACAGGAATTATCCATAGATGCTAAATCCACTGGGTGAAAGTTAATTGGTGAACAAGATATCCTCAAATGATCTCCCCTCAGATTATGGATTAAGTACAAAGAGAAGAAGGTACCTTTCGGGAACCAGCAAGTGACATGGAGGTTAAGGCGCTGGACACTCGTACATGGCTGACCACGGTTCAAGTCCTGGACCTGGTGGCTTGCTTTCTTAACTTTCTCTGTCTCTCGTCAAATTAAAATAAAATCAATGAATAAATAAAATACTTCTTTATGAAAAAGTAAAAGGTACCTTTACTGCGTAGAAATCGAGTGGCCTTTTTCTTATCCAAGTGACAAAGTTAACGTCTCCAAAAAAGTACACACAGACCTCTTGTACCTTCTGATGTGATGCGCTGTGATGGCATGGCCTGTAGAGTGTTCTTCTCTCTATGCCTTTCAGAAAAATGAATAACCTGAATCTAACCATGAGGGAACAATCAGACAAACCCAAACTGAGGGGCATTGTACAAAATAAACTGGCCTGCATGTTTCAACAATAACAGTGTCAAAGAAAAGAAAGGCTGAGGACCCAATTGTTGGAAACTAGAGATACACCCACTCTAATCCCATGCATGGTCCTGGATGGGATCCTGGACTGGGAAAGGTGCAGGATTTCTGAAAAGGATACTTTTTTGGGAAACAACAATTTGAATATGTTCCTTATATTCACTAGTAGTATTTTATCAGTTTTATTTCTTTAAATTGAAAATCAAGGAACCAGAGCTGGCACGGTAGTTAAGGGTGCTGGACTCCCACATGAACTGTGGTTCAAGTCCTGGACCTGGTGGTTTGCTTTCTAATTTTCTCTCCCTTCCTCCCTCCCTCCCTTCCTCC